ACGTAGATGTAATTAAAATCCTTTGGCGCTAGGATATAGCAGTATGGGTGGTGTGATCACGAGTCCCGAAAAGCTGTCTCTTTCAGCCGGGCACAGCGCTCGGAACATCGACTGTCCTAATTGGGCTTCCTCTTCATCACCATCAGCATTGTAAGTGGCGGTGCGTACTCTGTTACCTGTCTGACTTTGATCTGTGGTCGCACGACCGATCAATGTTTTGACTGGCATTAACAAATGTGTCTTTGGTTGTTTCCCTCCGGTACACAATGACCAAGTCTTCTGCCGTGCTCTGCTCTCATCCTCTTCTTCTCTCTTCTTCTCATTGTTGTTTAACTAGAGGAGCCGGTATGGTCCTTGAGGATAGGAATAAGTGTTGTTGTTTCCTTCTTGGTCATTGTTTTATCCAAGTATCCATGGGTGTTCATACACAGACTTGGCGTGAAAAATAAATTCACAACTGCTTAGGCTGGGATTCAATCTGATATCCGGCTTTGGTTTTTCGCAAACCGCACATTTAAGACTACGTTCTCTGCGTTCGCAGAGACCACACATTCCGGTAAACGTGAATATGTAAACCCCACTCCTAATTGTTCTCATGCAACTCCTTAGTGTAACAGTAGGAATGCTCCCTGGTCAACCCCCCCCCTCCAACATTCTCTTGTGAGACCTGGCTCATATTTTATTTACTAAAAAGGCGGCAAGACCTTCCTAATTGATGTCCCTAGCAGTTTCAAGCTTTCCAGTCTAGCACCAGTTAAAAAAATACAATGCAAAATTGATTTTCCTACCAGCTCTCTACTTCTGCAACTCAACTTTCAATGTTTAAGAGCTATATGCTTAAGTGAATGATTCATGTTTTTTTAATGCGTATGAGTAAGTTCAACTTCCTTGGTCTTTTTAAGGGATAGTTTTTGGATTTTTTGCAATAATGTTTAAGCAAAGGTAATTTTGCGAGCCAATGTTCACTATCTTAGCGCAATTTAGCTCAAAGACCGGTAGTCTTTGTTCCATTCACCTCTATGTAATCAATCATTATCTGAGTTTTTCTATGTGGCCCTTTGTCAAATGTCTGCATGTGGACAAAAGCAAGACTTTCTGTTCTGACCACTCCCCCCCCAACGACAATCGCTCTGTTTCTCCAGAACCCATACTTGATGGTGGTGTCCTTCTGATAGCCAGCGGTCTTTCATGTTCCAACCTTCAAGTCGACCACAGTTTAACATGGATGCTTCATCAACTGGTACTGCTTGGCATCGTTCATCGGCGGATCCGTTGGAACCCTCACGCAGTCCTGATTCAGAAATCAGAGTGGGTCCCAGTTACCCCCTATCTCAGAAATCCCAACCCTAGGAAACCGTGTACAGGTTGTGGTCAAAAGTTTTGAAATGACACAAATATTTAATTTTCACAAAGTCCTGCTTGCCTCATTTTTATTGATGGCAATTTGCATTACTCCAGAATGTTAATAGAGTGATCATATGAATGGGCAATTAATTACAAAGTTCCCTCTTTTGCCATGAAAATGCACTTAATCCCCCCCAAAATTTCCACTGCAATTTCAGGCCATGCCAACAAAGACCCACTTACATCATGTCAGTGAATTCTCTTTTTAAACACGGGAGAGTGTTTGACGAGACAAGGCTGGAGATCAACTCTGTCCTGCTGATTGAGTTAGAATAAAAAGCTGGAAGCTTTAAAAGGATGGTGTGCTGAAATCATTGTTCTTCCTCTTCCTCTGTTTAACCATGGTTACCTGCAAGGAAACAAGTGCCGTCATCATGCTTTTCACAAAATTGCTTCGCAGGCAGATATTGCTGCTAGTAAGATTGCACCTAAATCAACAACCATTTGAATCGGACATCCAGAACTTCAGGAGAGAGGTTCAATTGTTTGTAGAAGGCTTCAGGGCACCCAACAAAGTCCAGCAAGCGCCAGACGTCTCTCAAGTTATAAGCATCTGCGGGATCCGGGCACCACCCAGTTCAGAGCTTGCTTAGGAATGGCAGCAGGCAGGTGTGAGTGCATCTGCACACACAGTGAGACGAAGAACTTTTTGGAGGAATGGCTGGGTGTCAAGAAGGTCATGATGAAGCCACTTCTCTCCATGAAGCATTGGGGACAGACTGATATTCCTGCAAAAGGTAGCAGGGATTGGGCCGGCTGAGACTGGGGTAAGTCATTTTCTCTGATGAATCCCCGTTCCGATTGTTTGGGGCATCCGTAGAAAAGCTGGTCCGGAGAGGACAAGGTGAGCGCATACCATCATCTTGTGTCATGCCAACATAAAGCATCCTAGACCCTCATGTTTGGGGTTTGCTTTCTCAGCCAGGAGTTGGCTCACTCACAATTTGCCTAATAACACAGCCATGAATAAAGAATGGTACCAACACTGTCCTCAAGAGCCACTTCTCCCCCTTCCTCCCCAACATCCAAGAACAGTTTGGTGACGCACATGCCTTTCCATCATGATGAGCAACCTTGGCCATACAGGCAAAAGTGTAATACGTGGCTCGTTGAACAAAAAGTGAAATTGGACTCCCCAGACCCTTTCCCATTGAGAACTTGTGGTTCATATCTCAAGAGGCGGGTGGACAACACAGAAACCCACAACTCCAAGCATGTTGAATTATCGCAGAATTGGGCGCCATCATTCCGGAGGTGTGGCACAGAAGTTTAATTGACCAGCATGCAGAGCGGATTGCAGAGGCTTGAAAAGAATGTCACACTGTCAAGATTACTCTTTTGCATCACTTAATGTATTGTCAATAACCCTTTGACACTTATGGCATGCTTGTAATTATACTTTAGTAATAAACCATATAACATCTGACAAAAATATCACAACACTGAAGCAGCAAACTTGTGAGACCCATACTTGTGGTCTTCTCAAAACTTGGACCACGACTGTAATGTTCGGAAACGTTGTTTAATGTGGGAGTCAACCAGTCTGCCTATGAACTAGTTACCGACTGTCATGGTTGTTTGTTGGGTAGTTCGTGTCGATATTGGACCTTTTCCCCCTCATATGGTATCGGACTATAATTCAATCTGTATGAAAAAAAGGGATCTCATGCTTGATCGAACACTTGCGGCCATTCGCATGATTTCAGTATTGTCACAATGTATACACAACATGTTGAGAATAGTTTTTGGACAGTTGCTTCTTTTGATGGCACTTTATGAAATCCATTGTGAAAAAAATGCAGAGCGGTAATTTCCCCCCCAAAATTGGAATCGGACCCCAAAACCATATCGGTCACGTTTGGTTTGGCCTGTCCTTTATTCCCTGATTGGCATTCAGCCCGTAAACCCCACCTCTTCACTTCTCTACCCAGTGGCTCCAGAACCCAATAGACGCCATGTACCACCTACAAGCCGCTCATGTTCATGGGTCTCTCCCACTTCTTCCTCTTCAATGAAGGTCAGACTTTTACTAATGCTCCTCTAAAACCTGTCCCTGTGATAGTCTGCCTGTAGTCTGGTCATGACATTAGTGCCTCTATTTTGTGTGTCAGTCGACATTTCTCTCCGTCTGCTGGCTTTCGACAGGCGGCTGAAGGCTGAGTACCGTCAGAGAAGCTGTTCCGTGTGATGAGCTCTCTCGCCCTGCTCTACTCTCTGGCCACACTGAGTACTAGGCGGAATCGCTGGCATGTTGCCTGGGCTTCTCAGAGTTCCTGTCTAGTCTCAAGAACCTCCATCTCACTCTCTCCATAGCAGGGCATCTTTACGTGTAGGTATGATAACCGTGTATATCACAAGTCACACTCTGTATCCTTCTGCACCAGGTTTTTGAACTCAAATTATTTCCATCGTTTCTGTGAACAGAACCAGTATGTTTTGTGTGCATTTAGCTCAACATTAAATTACTATTCAACATAAGTTTCGAATTAATACCTACGAGGAGCGACGTCCTATGAAACTTTGATGTCTTGAACTTCAGAGAGTTGGGCTTAACGTTGGACCGCTCGCTACTAGCTAGCTGCTAACAAGCTTGAAGCTTGTGTGTGCAGAGCTGCCACCTGAATTAAAATACAACACACCTTACCTTTTTTGTAGTAACAAACCCATGTGAAATGTGATAACTATAATATCCTTACTAGCATTGAAAAAGGTAAATCATTTTTCTAATTAAAAATCTCTCCAAATTTCTGAATCACGCTTGGTAACGTCATAGGCTACTATCTATGCTTTCGGGGGACTGGGCATGAGGAGGGCGGGGCATGTAGCCTACACGCACACCTGGTAAAGATTTCACTGGCAGACAGCAACAACTGGAATAATTTTCTAAAGTGACAGAGTGAGGGCTTTGCTAGGCACTTCGTTCGTTTTTTTGTGGGGACTGGAATAATGCCCCTGAACAAAAATAAGGTTATTACCGGTTCCCATGATTTGTAATATAACGGTTCTGTTCCGGACAGTATAGATCACTTTCGTTCCTATTTCTGATTCTGTTCCATGACAAATGTTGTTGTTTTTACGGTTTTCTGTTCTGTTCCCTGAACGGTTTCAACCCCTGCTCTCCACACTGCTCCCTCACATGAATTGGTTATTTTCCCGGCGCACCATCTCTATCTCTCCCTGTGGTTGTCCATCTCCCCCTATGTCCACTCCCGTCCCCTGTAGGAGCTGTGTACCCTGCTGCTGCAGCAGGTCTGAATGGGGGACAGGATGATTGGACTCAACTGCTGGGTTTTCGCTGTCTGTGTGTCCTGGTATCTCTTTACACGTGGGGACGTAAAACCTACCTATTAGACGAGCGGCAAGAAACGAAGAACGACAACGCTTCATGACGGCGTTGTTGCGAGGTAAGTTGGGTAGGCCGGACGGAAAAGTGGAGTTGGGCGTGAAAAATGGGGACGAAAGAGAGAGGAAAACGGGGAAAAGGTCAGTAATAGTGCAGGCGGACTGGATGGAGCCGGGGAACACCAAGTGGACGGCAGAGCACAAGGAAAGGAAGAGAAAAAAAAGAGGAAGAAAGTAGGTTTTCAGGCCCACTTTAAAGAGATACCAGACACACAGACAGCGAAACCCATCCAGTTGAGTCCACTCATCCTGTCCCCCATCAGACCTGCTGCCAGCAGCAGGGTACACAGCTCCTACAGGGGACCGGGAGGGTAATTAGGGGGAGATGGACAAACACAGGGAGAGATGGTGCGCGTGAAAATAACCAATTCATGTGAGGGAGCAGGTGTGTGCAGAGCAGGGGTTGAAACCGGTTCAGGGAACAGAACAGAAAAACCGTAAAACAACAACATTTGTCATGGAACAGAATCAGAAATAGGAACGAAGTGATCTATACTGTTCCGGAACAGAACCGTTATATTAAAATCATGGGAACCGTGGTATAACATTATTTTATGTTCAGGGCATTATTTTCCAGTCCCCACAAAAAAACGCAACTAAGTGCCTATGCAAAGCCCTCACTCTGTCACTTAGAAACTTATTCCAGTGTCTGCCTGTCTGCCAGCTGAACATCTTTACCAGTGTGTGCGTGTAGGCTACCTGCCCCGCCCCCTCCTCATGCCCCGTCCCCTCCGAAGCATAGACTAGTAGCCTACTGACGTTACAAGCGTGATTCAGAAATTTGGGAGAGATTTTTAATTAGAGAAATTGATTTACCTTTTTCAATGCTAGTTAAGGATATTATAGTTATCACATTTCACATTGGGTTTGTTTACTACAAAAAGGTAAGGTGTGTTTTATTTTAATTCAGGTGCCGCTCTGCACACACAAGCTTCAAGCTTGTTAGCTAGCTAGCTAGCTAGCGAGCTGGTCCAACGTTAAGCCAACTCTCTGAAGTTCAAAGACATTCAAAGTTCCTTCATAGAAGTCGCTCCTCCGTAGGTATAATTCGAACTTATTGTTGAAGTAATTTAATGTTGAGCTAAATGCACACAAAAAATAATGGTTCTGTTCACAACGAAACGATTGGAATATAATTTTGGTTCAAACCCCTGGTGCAGAAGGATACAGAGTGTGACTTGTGATATACACGGTTATCCTCCATACCTTAAAGATGCCTGCTATGGAGAGAGTGAGACTGGAGGTCTTTGAGACTAGCAGGAACTCTGAGAAGCCCAGGCCAAATGCCAGCGATCCGCCTATACTCAGTGTGGCCAGAGAGTAGAGCAGGGGAGAGAGCTCATTCACACGGAACAGCTTCTCTGAGGTACTCAGGCTCAGCCCTGTCGAAAGAATCAGACGGAGAGAAATCGTTCTGCACTGACACACAAATAGAGGCACTATGTCATGCCCAGACTGACAGGCATGGACTATCACAGACAGGTTAGAGAGCATAGTAAAAGTCTTACCTTCATTGAAGAGGAAGAGTGGGAAGAGACCCATGAACATGAGCGGCTGTAGGTGGTACATGGCGTCTATTGGGTTCTGGAGCCCTGTGGAGTAGAATGTGGAAGAGGCTGGGGTTTACTGGACTGAATGCCTAATCAGGGAATAAAAGGACAAGTCCAAGACCCAACGTGACCGATATGGTTTTTGGGGTCCGATTCCAATTTTGGGGGGGGACAATTACCGCTGTCATTTTTTTCACACTGGATTCTCATAAAGTGCCATCCAAAAGAGCAACTGTCCAATAACTATTCTTCAAATGTTGATTGTATACATTGTGACAATAATGACATCATGAGAATGGCCGCAAGTGTTCAGATAAGCATGAGATTCCCTTTTTTCATACGATTGAATTATCGTCCGATACCGATATGAGGGTAAAAGGTCAATATCGACCGAACTACCCAACAACAACACAATGACAGTCGGTAACTAGTCTCCATAGGCAGACTGGTTGCCTCCCACATTAACAACGTTCCGACATACAGTCGTGGTCCAAAGTTTTGAGAATGACACAAGTATTGGTCTTCACAAAGTTTGCTGCTTCAGTGTTTTTGGATATTTTTGTCAGATGTTACTATGGTATACTAAAGTATAATTACAAGCATTCCATAAGTGTCAAAGGCTTTTATTGACAATTACATTAAGTTTATGCAAAGAGTCAATATTGACAGTGTTGACCATTCTTTTTCAAGACCTCTGCAATCCGCTCTGCATGCTGTCAATTAACTTCTGTGCCACATCCTGACTGATGGCAGCCCATTCTTGCATAATCAATGCTTGGAGTTTGTGGGTTTCTGTTTGTCCACCCGCCTCTTGAGGATTGACCACAAGTTCTCAATGGGATTAAGGTCTGGGGAGTTTCCCAATTTCAATGTTTTGTTCCCCGAGCCACTTAGTTATCACTTTTGCCTTATGGCAAGGTGCTCCATCATGCTGGAAAAGGCATTGTTCGTCACCAAACTGTTCTTGGATGGTTGGGAGAAGTTGCTCTCTGAGGAAGTGTTGGTACCATTCTTTATTCATGGCTGTGTTCTTAGGCAAAATTGTGAGTGAGCCCACTCCCTTGGCTGAGAAGCAACCCCAAACATGAATGGTCTCAGGATGCTTTACTGTTGGCATGACACAAGACTGATGGTAGCGCTCACCTTGTCTTCTCCGGACAAGCTTTTCTCCGGATGCCCCCAAACAATCGGAAAGGGGATTCATCAGAGAAAATGACTTTACCCCAGTCCTCAGCAGTCCAATCCCTGTACCTTTTGCAGAATATCAGTCTGTCCCCAATGTTTTTCCTGGAGAGAAGTGGCTTCCTCACTGACCTTCTTGACACCAGGCCATCCTCCAAAAGTCTTCGTCTCACTGTGTGTGCAGATGCACTCACACCTGCCTGCTGCCATTCCTAAGCAAGCTCTGCACTGGTGGTGCCCCGATCCCGCAGCTGAATCAACTTTAGGAGACGGTCCTGGCGCTTGCTGGACTTTGTTGGGTGCCCTGAAGCCTTCTTCACAACAATTGAACCTCTCTCCTTGAAGTTCTTGATGATCCGATAAATGGTTGATTTAGGTGCAATCTTACTAGCAGCAATATCCTTGCCTGCGAAGCACTTTTTGTGCAAAGCAATGATGACGGCACTTGTTTCCTTGCAGGTAACCATGGTTAACAGAGGAAGAACAATGATTTCAAGCACCACCCTCCTTTTAAAGCTTCCAGTCTGTTATTCTAACTCAATCAGCAGGACAGAGTGATCTCCAGCCTTGTCCTCGTCAACACTCTCACCTGTGTTAACAAGAGAATCACTGACATGATGTCAGCTGGTCCTTTTGTGGCATGGCTGAAATGCAGTGGAAATTTTTGGGGGGGATTAAGTTCATTTTCATGGCAAAGAGGGACTTTGTAATTAATTGCAATTCATCTGATCACTCTTCATAACATTCTGGAGTATATGCAAATTGCCATCATAAAAACTGAGGCAGCAGACTTTGTGAAAATTAATATTTGTGTCATTCTCAAAACTTTTGACCACAACTGTACACGGTTTTCCTAGGTTTGGGATTCTGAGACTAGGTGGTAACTGACCCAGCTCTGCTTTCTGAATCAGGACCTGCGTGAGGGTCCACCGGATCCCGCCGATGAACGATGCCAGCAGTACCATGATGAAGCCCTCCATGTTAAACTGTGTCGACTTGAAGGTGAACATGAACAGACCGCTGGCTATCAGAAGGACCACCACCATCAAGTATGGGTTCTGGAGAAACAGAGCGACTTGGGGGGTCAGAACAGAAGTCTTGCTTTTGTCCACATGCAGACATTTGACAAAGGGCATAGAAACTCAGATACATGCATTGATTTACATAGAGGTAATGGAACCAAAGACTACCGGTCTTTGCGCTAAATTAGCGCTAACGATAGTTAACATTGGCTCGCAAAATTACCTTTGCTAAACTATTATTGCAAAAATCCAAAACTATCCCTTTAAATACACATAGGAAGTTGAACTTCCTCCTACGCATTAAAAACATAATCCATTCACTTAATCATATAGCTCTTAACATTGAAAAGTGAGTGCAGAAGTAGAGAGCTGGTAGGAAAATCAATTTGGCATGTATTTTTTAAACTGAGTTCCTAGATGGAAAGCTTGAAACTGCAGGGACATCAATTAGGCAGGTCTTGCCGCCTTTGTAGTAAATAATGAGCCAGGTATCACAGAGATGAATGTTGGAGGGGGTGACCATGTGAGGCCATTCCTACTGTACACCTAGGAGCTGCATGAGAACAATTATGAGTGGGGCGTTTACATATTCACCGTTTACCGTGAATGTGGTCTCTGCGAACGCAAGAACGTAGTCTTTAAAATGTGCGTTTGCGAAAACAAAGCGAGATCAGATTGAATCCCAGCCTAAGCAGTTGTTGAATTTTTTTTCACGCAATTCTGTGTCATGCAACACCCATGGATACTACTGGATAAACAATGACCAAGAAGAAACAACAACACTTATCCTATCTCAAGCGACCTACCGGCTCCTCTAGTTTAAACACCAATGAGAAGAAGAGGATGAAGAGCACTGCAGAAGACTTGGTCATTGTGTACCTGGAGGACACAACCAAAGACACATTTTTAATGCCAGTCAAAACATTGACGGTCGTGCGAACCACAGATCAAAGTCAGCTAGGTATACATAGTACGCACACGCACACTTACAAGCTGATGGTGATGAAGAGGAAGCTCCAATTGGACAGTCCGATGTCCAGCGCTGTTGCCATGGCTGAAAGAGACAGCTTTTTAGGACTGTTGATCACACCACGGCATACTGCTATATTCCTAGCGCCAAAGGATTTTAATTACATCTACGTCAATAACAAAGTCAGTGAGGGAAAGATAAGAAGGTGGTCATTCAAGAGTCATAACTTTATGACTCTTGAATGTCAAAAACAAATCACATAGTTAGGTCATATTCATTGCACCATGTTGATTCATGACAACAGTAGAGACATTTGCACTGAGAGACTCTGTAACAGTAATATCTGACAAGCTGTAAGGTGCATTTAAGAAGTTACAGCCAAGATTCGGGGAAAGGAAAATAGGAGACAGTGGCTTCTTATCACAGATTGACTATGCCTTGTATGATGTAGAGCGAAGTCCATGTCGATTATACCATGTAACCTGGACTAACACAAACAACTCAAACTGTTTGGCATAAATACCCCTAATATCTGCAAAGAGTGCCCACTAAAAAATCATCCATTGTATGTAGTGATTCAACACACTCACCGATCGGGGCGACCTTGGAGAGGTAGTCTGTCCAGTTCACCATGACCCGAGGCTTCCCTGTCCTGCATTGCATGGCCGAGCGGGTCAGGGTAGAGAGACAGAAGATGACGGTGAGGTGGACCAGGGTCATGAACAGTGGATAGTGGAAGCCCTTAGAGAGACACAGCGAGAGGTGGGAACACATTTTGCAAACATTGACAGCGAGTTCAGCTACATGGGCACGGCATGCAAATCAATATACATACATCAAGGTAAAGGGTGGCTATTTGAAGAATCTCAAATATAACATATATTTTGATTTGTTTAACACTTTTTTTTGGTTACTACATGATTCCATATGTGTTATTTCATAGTTTTGATGTCTTCACTATTATTCTACAATGTAGAAAATAGTAAAAATTAAGAAAAACCCTTGAATGAGTAGGTGTGTCCAAACCTTTGACTGGTACTGTATATAAATATATATATACACACACATATGTGTTTTATTGTCACATACACCAGGTGCAGTGAAATGTGTCGTTTTACAGGCCGACGACCATAGCAGTACGGCCCATCTGGAGCAAACAATGGTTAAGTGCCTTGCTCAGGGACACAGACTGATTTTTCACCTTGTCAGCTTGGGTATTCAAACCAGTGATCTTTCGGTTACTGACCCAACGCTCCAACCACTGGGCTACCTGCCTTAAAATACCAAAATACCACGTTATGTCGCATGAGGAGCGGGAGCCAGCTTCAGACTCACCTTCATCAGCCACTTGTTATAAAAAGTGATGCCGATGGAGAAGACATAGTAAACGAGGACCAGGCTCACAGTGCGGACTGCCCGGCATAGGACCTGGACAGGGCAAGGCATTGTGCAGGTTCACCCTTCCCCGCAAGAACTACTGCAGGGGCACCATCTTCAAAAGGGAGCAATGTACCACGCTGTGCTGGGCTGAAGGCTGGGCAGGGAAAGGGGAGGGAAGAGGGAGAGAGAGAGAGAAAGATGGGAGTAGTTGACAATATAATTAAAGAGAAAATAACTCTGATATAATTTGCTGCTAGCTGAGCCTGAAACCTGCTCTCAGAGCATTTCGTATTATTCTGTACGTAAATCCGAGACTCCAATTTAGTACGATATGTTACGTTTAGTATCGTCAGAGATACTTTTGAGGAGATGGGAAACTCCATTGAAATCGTATTACGCCCATTGTGTACGTTGCCCATGCTATGTCAATGGGCCGTGTGGTGCATTCTAGGTGATTCTGGGACAAGGAGAGCTCTCCTTCAAGGAGTGAGCGAGAGTCAATTGGGCGCTAGCTCAAAAACCCAACACTAGCATGAATTTTGTCAACAAGAAGTACAATATTACAAATATTTTCCAAGATGTGAAATAATTAACTTGCTATCTGTAATATTGTATAGCTTTGGAATCGTGAAATTACATACTTTCGAGGAAAACCGCCATGTGTCTCAACTCATACCCTGACTTTGAGAAGGTATTAAAAGTGACGATCAGCTTAGCAACCGCGTGATGCAGCATGACAACGTGAATGCGATTGGTCTACAGTCTGCTGGGTGGGGCGTTATACGTTCCTCCATTCATTGCCCAATGGGATTCCTATCTCCTCCTTTCTCTAATATCTCTGGTATTGTTACATAAGACAGATGGTTACTTAAGGCAAAAATGAGGAGGGTGGTTGGTTGGTCGTATAACGCGAACATCTAACAACCCAAAGTTTGTGAGTTCGAATCTCATCATGGACAACTTTAGTATTTTGGCGACTTTTCAAGTACTTACTACTTTTTAGCTACTTTGCAACTACTCAGCATGTTAGCTAACCCTTCCTCTAACCTTAAACCTTTTAGCTAACCCTTCCCCTAACCTAACTCCTAAACTTAACACTAACCTTGCTAACGTTAGCGACCTAACTAACATCAGCCACCTAGCTAGAATTCGTAACATTTCATACGTTTGGCAAATTCATAACATATTGTATATTTTGCAAATTCGTAAAATATAATACGATCTATAATTCGTAACATATCATACGAAATGGGTGATGATATCCACAAATTAATACATACTACACAAAACGTATTATACTAAATGGAGTGTATCGGGTTTACATAAAGAACAATACGCAATGCTCTGAGACCAGGTTGCTGCGAGCATGTGACTGAGAGTACAGAGTTGAACTATCTGTTTGACCAGTCTTATCAGTGAGCGAACTCCAATGTTTAAGTTGGCACTGACACTGGCATAGGTTTACGTGTGTCTGGTGGTAATACTACACATGAACATACAGATTTTACCAAAGTGTTCATGTTTAACATTGTAGCAGTCACCAGAACAGCCGGTGGCCAAACTAAATAGATGCATTGCTGATGACACTGGAAAGCACAAACCAGGGCCATATGGCTAACCACGGGGCTAGTAGTCGATAACTTGCTAGCTAGCTGCGGTTGTCAGCTAGCTGCACCAGAGATCTTATGAAAAACGTGTAAAACTGTGGCTTCAATCTGGTTGAATTCACCAGCTGGCGAACGGCGGCGGTAACGTTAGCTAGCAAGCAAACTAGTTAATCAAAGTTTGGCAAGTCCCGTTGGCTGCTGTGCAAAGCTAGGTCTAATTTCATTGTAATTGAAAATAAATAACGTAACGTTGACTAGCAATCTGACCAAATAAAATAAAAAAAACATATGGCTGTAATGGAAACATTGTTTTACTCACCAATTTACAGTAACCTTACTTTTGTTGTTGGCAACTAGTCGCTCCACTCTACACACGGTCCACGGCATCGCCCATCCATAGTATTTTTTAACAATAAATCTATACAAAAGGTACACGGCGAACAAGTATACGTAAAGAATATACAAAGAACAGTAGGGGCGGGGCGAAGGGGTACAGTAACACATTACACAAAGCCCTTAAGGGGCATACACACATTTATAATTCTAACAGCTTTTTAGTTGGTATTTAATTGTCTTAAAATATTGTTCAATGTCTTTTTGTAACGTAAGAAAAATGGGTGTTTTATTTGTGAATATGAAATTTGGCCAAAAGAATAATGAAATTATAACATAACGTTGTTTACAATTATTTCCATCGTAGGTGAAGAATCTTAGCAGTCCACCTCTCCATAAAATCTTAATAAATATGTTCAACTATAAATCTACTGATGTCTTGCCACAGATTACTTACATGAATACAGTGCCAAAAAAGATGCAACACCGTTACTGGGTGGTCGTTACAAACAGGTACAATTTGAATGTATGTCTTTTTTCAACTTCATATAGTGGTTTGCAGGATAATATTTATGAATAATTTTAAAATAAACTTTTGTTAATCAGTAGGTATGTGTGAGCAGTGGTGTAGTGGTCCCTGGAGAAGTGGGTATACTCTCAGTATTCACCTTTTTTTTTTTTAAGTAGTCCAGAAAAAAGCCCTGTTTTAGAAACAGTGACATGTAAGACTATGATTTAGTTTACCCAAAAATATGTAATTTCTACTTGCACACTATTATAAAATGATCATGACTTGATTAGGAGCAGTTTGTAGTTACTACTGGTCACAAGAGCAGCCTGGATGAATGTAAAATGTATTTATCATGAGGCAAACAGGAAATGGTGTTTCGATTATTTTTTGCACATTTATTTAAATAAAATACTTCAAATCTGAAGGTGACAATGCATCCTTGTTCATATTGCTATATGCTTTGTTTTGAACATGTTCATTTACCGGTAAATCATTCAACAAAATATGTTACAACAATATTTAGTTAACAATTAACAAAAATATATGCATTAACAACACATCAACAGTGATATACTCTCTCAACCCAGCACTGGGTTTCTGACCTTTGCTCATACTACAGTATATTCCAGACAAATTTGCTTTCTGCAGGAGCTTTCACACTGCACTGTCTAGAACGCACCGAAGAGGCAGCACGATGGCTCTTCAACCAGGTCCTTGTATATTTTCTAGGATCAAACTTGGAAGTTGGTGGGCCGTTGATATTAATCATCATCAAGTTTGATATGTTTGAGATCAGAAGGACAGCCCTCTTGTCTGAGCTTATATTGTTCATAAGGCTAAAATTCCTCTCACACTCTGCTGTACCGACAGGGAATGTTTTCATACAGTTCATAAGTGGTTTTAGGTCCTTGGGCTCACTACTGGGCTCTTCCAGTAGGTCCCGCATCCCATTCAGTGCTTGGTCTGTGCACAAGTTAAATCGCTTGCACAGTCGCTTAACTTGTTCTTCACCATGGCGGATGCTGGGCTTTGATGGCCACTTACTCTGATCAAGGATGCTGAGGTCCATGATGGTCTCATCTTCAAAAGACAAGCGTTTCTCCAGATTGTTCACAAGGCTTTGTAAGAACTGGCCTGGATTGATAGACTTCAGCTTTGCATTTGTTTTCAGGGCTATAGACCGATACTCCCCAGTCTGTTTTGCTTCTAAAGCCTCACTATATTTCTCACCTGGACTCTCTTTGAATGACTGGATCACTCTGATTGAGCGTTTCAGCAGATGCTCTGCTCTGAGGAGCGTTATAGAACGAGACTGAAGCTCCTGTGACAGGAGACTTAGTTCATGGAGAGTGTCGTACATGAGGCCAAGGTCACAAATGAATTCTGGACTTTGAACACGGTCTAACAAACCTCTGTACATCTGCCTCTCTTTGGTGGACCTCATCTCATCACTGCAAGCATTTTTAAAGTGCTGCACAAGAGCTCCCAGGGATGTCCAAACAGCACGAACAGTCCGAAAGCTACTGGCCACCCAGCGTACATCCAAGATTCTGCCAATGCGAAGAAGTTGTGAGCCTACTTCAGCTGCTGCATTAACAAGTTCACGTTCATTTTTGTTTGACACACTATACAGAGAGTATAGCTTCTGGATAAAAGTTTTAAAGTGATTGACAGAGTTTACCTCATCAACTGCATCTGACACAGCAAGTTCAAGTCTATGGTTCATGCAGTGCCATACAAAAAGCTTTGGGAATCTCAAAGTCAGTCTGGTTGCTACTCCTGACTTCTTTCCTAGCATGACACTGGCTCCATCAGATACAAATGTTACCCAGTTTTCATGAAGCCACTCTTCTGTAAAGCCAGCATTAGTTAAACAGGTGAGTAACGCCTGTAATATGCCATCTGCTCTCTGATTTTCCAGTTCAACAAGTTCCAGGAATATGAACTCAGGGCTTTCTTCTTGAATTGATGCTTTAATAGAAACTGTCATGACAGCTTTGTGACTTAAAGAAGATGCCTCGTCAATTAGGACAGCTAACTTACTGGATGATGCTATAATGCTACTGATGATTTTGCTCTGCATCTCACTAGCAACATGTTGTATTATTTGTGTTGCACTGTAACGTGAATGAAGTATTGAGCCCATTTTTACACCATTCAGTTCCTGCAGCTCAATGAGGCTCTCATGGTCAGAAAAGGGTCGGTTCTTTTTGGCCAGATGGTAGGCTGTTCGAAACACAGCTTCAGTTTCCTTCATGTAGGACTCAGTCATAGTCTCCACTGCATTCTCAATGGCAGCTTCTTTCTGTTGCTCTGCCACCTTCACAGCCTGAGTGTGGGCCTTGGACAACGCATGTTTCCTCACCTTATTTCTCAAGATTGACAAACTTGTTGTTCTACTTCCCTGGCCAGACACTTGAATTTCAAAGTTCATCCATTCTCTTGAGAGCGATACACCTTGTCCTTGCTCCTTGTCGATCCCAATGGAGTTCACACTGCTACAGACCAGACATCCTGCGAAGCATAAACAAACAATGTAACTACTCCTGTATCCACAGCTGTACGTGTGCATGGTCCTTTACACACACACACACACACACACACACACACACAAA